TTAATGAGCATAACTGCCAGCAAATCAAAACTCTCCATCTTAATCATGTACATATTTAGAAACTAACCAACATATATCTTCAAATAAGATGAAGTACAAGTGAGAGAGCAGAGAGGCAAACTGTACAGCTAAGAATAGTAAGCCCAAATGTACTAACTACTGTCTCTGCAAGCTCAATGGACTCTGTCATGAGCTTATTATTTCTTTTGATAAGCTTGGAGTCATAATGTGGTTGATAATTCCATCCTTCAAGACTCCGAACTCTAGACCTCTCAAATCTCTCTTTCATGCTTAATATCTCCATTCTTTCTTGAAGCACCCCCAAGCTTGTGTCCACAATACTCATATTTGGCCTCCCTGCGAAATACAAAGTGAATCACGTTCGTTCTATAATTAGACTTATCTCGCACTGTTCTAGTTTATTAGTACATACATAACATTTTTTTCACCCTCATAATTTATATGTGCAATAAAATAAAATAAAATAAAATAAAATATTCTTTTCATCGATCCTCTCTTTCTTTCTCTGGGTGAAAGGGAGAGAGGGACGGAGGAGCAGCGGAGAGAAATTTTTTTATTTTATTTGCAGATAGACCCTCCGAGAGTGAAACCACAGAGAAAGTCAATCAGGAGATGCACATGCTAATAAAATAGTTCAAGGATGATAATTGGCAAACTTGCATAATACGGGACATGTATATATGCATCTACCCCTTCAAAGAAACAAATTTCAAAGTTGTGATTCGCGTACTATACCTTCGTCAGAGGCTGAACTATGCGCTCTCGCTCGCAGTATTACATGCACTTTTCGCCTTGGAGTCAATCTTGGCATCCCACAGAGAGACGAAAGAGAAGAAGACATGGCCTCCATTGTTTGTTCACTGAGAATTAGGATCTCTATCACTAGTATTCGAAGATATGGTAACTAAGCTTCAAGTGTGATTTGGTCAAACTAACTATATATATATATATATATATATATATATATATATATACGCTTCTATTGTTTTATTTTAATCTTTGGCGGGTATTTTACGAAACTTGTAGTTTGGTTTGAGAAATATTTCAACGCATAAAATTGGCCTCTTATTCGTTATATTCAAGCGAAGTGACTGATTTTGTTACTTATTGATACTCCCAAATAGATAATTCGGCTTGAACGTCAACAATGCCCTCCTACTAAATTTGGTTTCTAATTATCTAGTATCTCCTTTGTTGTTCTTTAATATTATGACTCATTCAAATGAGAAGCATGTGTAGTTTTGGACTTGTTCTATAGGACAATATGTACGTATTTGCTTTTGGAAAACGTGTGAATAGGCTCAAATATATGCAAGTTAACCAAGTTGAGGAACTTGCAGAGAAAATACTTGTTATTTCAAATTGATTAAAAAAAACTATGCATTAACTGCAATTTTCCACAAATTTTCCACATGACTGTGTAAAATTACACATTTTTCCAGTGAAAATTGTGGTTTGTACTTTTAGTGGGGCTTTCTAATAAAATCTTGAAGCTAAAAGAGATTTTTTTTAACTTAAGGGTGGTTTTTGTATGGATTTTTAGATCTCGCAAAAACCCCTAAAAAACTACCAAACGCAGCAAATAAAATCACACAAGATTTAACATGAAAAACCCTCAACAGGAAAAAACCACGGGATCAAAATCAATCCACTATCACATTCAAATTATAATCTTTTGCACGGATAAAGACTGTCAAACCCTCTCTCACTCTTTCTCTCTACACTTCTTCTTCTTCTCCTTCTTCTTTTTCTTCTAACAATAGAAGGATATATATAGAGAAACCAAAACTCTATCTCTAGCTTAGCTTCCTAATTAGAATAAGATTCAAACTCTCAATCATGATGGAACCCAAACTCCTAATCATGATAGATCTCTAACCTTATCTAATTCTCATGAAGTTATACAAAGAATTAAAAAGTTTATCCTAACTTGGAGTTTGAGTAGATACCTAACATATCCTCCCTCGACGAAAAATCTCCAAGTGTCTCAACGACTTCAGAAAAACTCACTTTCTTTTTCTTGTTCTTCACATCTCCCTTGTGGATAAGAGTCTGAGAAGAGTAATCTACACCGTACCATTAACGAATCACTCATCTAAATAACAAATATAATTGCTATTCTTCCTCCCTCTCAAAATCAAATCACCATCTCTATACACATTGCATCACTCTTCTTCACCCACATACTTGTACCCACGTGATGTCATCTCACCCAATGAAATTAAATTAGCACCACATGTCGGTATATATCTCACATGATGAAGAATTCTGACCTTCCCAGTATGAAGCTTGAGACGAACACTTCCAACACCTTCAAGCTTCATCGTCTCGTTGTTTCCAACAATCACGTCGTCAAATTCTTTATTTGTCTTTAATGTGTTAAAATAATTTTTGTTGTTACAAACATGCATAGAGGTTGTAGAATCTAATACCCAAGTATTACTCGCATCAGTACTTGTACTCTTCATCAATAAAACCACATCTCCATTACACACAACCACTGAGGAGTCCGTCTTCTTCCCATTTTCTTGAAGCTTCATCCGTCTAATACTCTTCAAATCATCACATATCTGAAAACATCTGAACTGAATGTGACTCTTCTATCCGCAATAATAGCACTCCTTTTTGTTGTCGTCTTGGGCCCAAAATTTTGACCTTCCTCGATAACTGTCACATCTCCCCGTACTCCTTCCTCGATTAGAACCTTCAAAAGCTAGTGCACTCTCACCACCATTAGATGCGCTCTCCTTTCCCATAATTCTTTCATTCTTACGTAAGAGTGTTGTCACATCGTCAAACTTCAAAGTCTGTTTTCCTGTAATTATCGTCTGAACTAACGGCTTGTACGACTTCAGCAATGAAGACAATAGGAGTAGTGCCTACTCTTCTTCTTTAATCTCCTCATCAATATTCATAAGTTGGCAAACTAGCTGATTAAAAGCATTGATGTGGTCTCGAATTGTAATATCTTCTTCCATCTTCAACGAATAAAGCTCCATCCTCAAACACAGTCGGTTAGTCATCGACTTTGACGCATAAATCCCCCCGAGCCTTTCCCACAGCCCCCCTGGGTTGGTCTCTTGCATAACATTGTACTTGATCTCGAGGGCGAGTGCCAAACGAATTGTGCTAACCGCCCTCTTTTGCATGGAACTCCATTCAGCATCCTTCAATCTTTCAGGTTTTTTCTCCTCCAAAGCTTGATCAACACTCTGCTGCATAAGAATATCTTGAATCGTATACTGTCATACTGTAAAATTTATCTTGCTATTGAATACCGGAATATCAAACTTCGGACCCGAAGAAGTCATCATCCTCTAACCACGATCAAAATTCAAATCAGTCCCTATAGAGATTGAACTTGATAAAACCAATATTAAAAACGAAGTTAGCATGTCGAAAAATCCTAGGAACGACTCTTGAATCACCAAAATCCGCCTCTAAATCCTTGATCAAAAGACAAATCAACCTCAACCGTCGGATCTGGCACCGCTACAGTACCCACCGCTACACTGCGTCATCATGAACAGTTCCGTTGCTACAGTACCCACGGTGAACAGTGTTGTTACTACAGTTCCGTTGCTACCAATATCGTTGCAAATCTCGAATCTCCACGAACCGTCGAACGTCGCTCTGATACCACTTGTAGGGATTTTTAGATCTCGCAAAAACCCCAAAAAACCATCAAACGTAGCAAATAAAATGACCCAAGATTTAATATGGAAACCTCTCAACAGGGGAAAATCACGGGATCAAAATCAATCCACTATCACCTTCAAATTACAATCTTTTGCACGAACAAAGACTGTCAAACTCTCTCTCACTCTTTCTCTCTACACTTCTTCTTCTTCTTCTTCTTCTTCTCCTTCTCCTTCTTCTTTTTCCTCTAACACTAGAAGGATATATATAGAGAAACCAAAGCCCTATCTCTAGTCTAACTTCCTAATTAGAATAAGATTCAAACTCCCAATCATGATGGAACCAGAACTCCTAATCATGATAGATCCCCTAACCTTATCTAATTCTCATAAAATTATACAAAGAATTAAAAACTCTATCCTAACTTGGAGTTTGAGTAGATACCCAACAGTTTTCCTATGTATTGAAGGTTATGAGAGGTTATATGATAATCGTTGAAAGTTTTACGGCAGGTTTTCTATATTAAAAAGGTCATTATGTTGAATTCTCTGGGGAGCTCAAGATTGTTGCAGTGCAGATTTGTCTTCAACTAATTGGAGAGTCCTAACAGAAAGAAAATATATTTTTTCTTCTGGTTGACATCTTGTTATCTTAGCGTAACTTGAAGCACATAGTCTGGATTCAGCTTCAGTTCAACCTTTATCATAGATTTGTACTTGATTGCTAAAATATATGCATTTGCACGAAAATTTTATATATGTGCATAAAATTCACAATTCATTTCATATAAATAGTGGTTTAAATAAAAAACTGCAGTTGTGAGATTATAAACTACAATTTGTAAATCTGCAGCTCCAATTAAAAAGATATATAACTACAATTGCTACAGCTCTTAATCCGTTCCATTCACAATCATGATGCCTTTGGAATTTATGGTTCATGTGGGAAGATGGGAATGAACTTAGCGCAAGAGAATATGATAAGCACTCAACTTTAGAATGCACATAACATTTCAGTAAATAATAGAGTACAATTGTACGTGAATGGACAAAAGAGTAAATTTTACAAATCTCCTTCCCCAAAATTCTCTAAAAAAAATTTTTATTCCACTAAACCCTCCTGAACTTGGAGGTGTGAAAAAAACCCTTCTAAACGTTTATATTGAGGATTAGTGAGGGAGAAAAAAAATATGCAGCTAATTTAAGGAGAAAAAAAAAAGCTGGATTGACCCCTAAACAGGCCTAAGCCTTAGAAACGGGTAGCCCAACAAAACGGCCCATTATAGCCCAACAAGTTTAGCTCACTCGGCTTCCGTACAGAATCCAGACCCTGCTCAGAATTGAGATTCCCCTCTTTTCTTTATCCTATTTCCTTATGCGGGTGGAGTTTTTGGATAATCTAAAAAAGAGAAAATATGCAGCTAATTTCTCCCTCGTCTTGCTTACCTCAATATCAAAGTATTTTCTTTGCTTCTCTCTACCTTAAAACTGTATTTTTTTTCTATGTGGGTCTTTGAACCTCAACATGCAAATTTCCTCTGTTATGAGCATTGACCGCACTCTGAAAGCTAAATGGGTCTTTTAGCTTACGACCCAATTGTTGGAAAAGTGCTAAAAAAAAGACTTCAATTTTTCCGTGTCGATTTCATGAAGATGCGGTGTTTGAGTAAATTCCCAACTGACCCAGCTTCTCTTTTCTCCCGTTTCTTGTCGCAGGAAATCCTCATTCGTTTCGCAGTAAACCATCTAAATCCAACAGGAGGCTTGTGGAGAGGTAAGCTGGAGCTTTATGATTTGTATCTACGCGTGTTGTCAATGGGATTTTGGATAGCGTTGAATGTTTATTTTGTTTTTCGATCGGAATTAGTTGCTTTGGGGGTGAAGAAGGGAGGGTACGCGCACAGAATGCGGGGGAGGGCAGAAGCCGGAGGATAATGCTAATGCTCCCGCTGGTGCCGTCGAGCTTGTCGGCCGCTCTGCCGGCCATTGGGAAGGTTAAAAGCAGGAGCCCATACGATGAAAAGAGACTGCTTGAACAGAATAAGAAGATACAGGGGGCCAACAATGCACCTGAAGACTTCCCGAATTTCATTAGAGAAGGTGAAATTTTTGCTATTTAGAGGTTAATGGTTAATATTATCGGCGTTTATTAGCCTTTTATACGATGGTAGTGACCTCGTTGTTGTAGAGTAGTTAAGACAAGTGGTAGATCGGGAACAATTTATCTTGGGAGTGACAATCAAATTACCTTAGAAATCATAGTTTACGATAATAATACTGATACTTCGGTTTATGTTGGGTGATGTTTCTCTCTTAGCTGGGTTGGGATTAATGAAAGGTTCCGGATGTGGGCTTTTAGGAAAATGCTAAGTGTACTACTCCCCCTTGTACTCGTTTGGTACTCCCACTCGCAAAAGAGTGGGGTCATGATGACTCACCACATGAAAATTGTAATGGTGAGTCGTCATGGCCCTACTTTTTTGTGAATGGGAGCACCAAATGAGTACAATGGGAGTAGTACACTTATCACTACCCCGGCTTTTATGCCTATGTCCACAGGCAAAGATAACAAGACATCCACTAATGACATATTACAAGCACTCTCACCCAAACTCACAAGAGTGTATTACTCTCACTCATGCCCAAACACAATTACACCCCAATCTCACGCTTTACTGAGGGAGAGAGCAAACTTCTCTTTATTTTAGCTCACAACACTTCGCTCTTGTGGGACACTGTGCCATTGCATAACACACCTCCATTTATAGGCTCCAAGCCTGCAATTGTCAAAAAAAAAAAAAGCATATCAAGCATCGATCTTGAATAGGTGGGCTATCTCATAGCCTGAGGGAAATTTGAATTGGTGAATACAGGGGCCACTACATGGCCTTTGAGAAAAATTAATAGAATGCACTTCATGCATCTGAGGCTATGTTCCTTCACGTGGCCAACGAGCCACTTTCTTTGATTTTTGTGGTGTGGAATCTAGACTTCACCTATCAAGCTGATGTTATTATTTCAATGTAGATATCTTGGATCCTTGTTATGATTATGTAACTAATTGTTCCCGGGGAATATTCAGGTTTCCAAGTGAAAGTCATGACATCCGACAAATATGTTAAACGTGATAATGGACTTATATATCTGGATTTAGAAGTTGGTCAAGGTGATTTCCCAAAGGATGGTGTTTATGTTGGGTGATGTTTCTCTCTTAGCTGGGTTGGGATTAATGAAAGGTTCCGGATGTGGGCTTTTAGGAAAATGCTAAGTGTACTACTCCCCCTTGTACTCGTTTGGTACTCCCACTCGCAAAAGAGTGGGGTCATGATGACTCACCACATGAAAATTGTAATGGTGAGTCGTCATGGCCCTACTTTTTTGTGAATGGGAGCACCAAATGAGTACAATGGGAGTAGTACACTTATCACTACCCCGGCTTTTATGCCTATGTCCACAGGCAAAGATAACAAGACATCCACTAATGACATATTACAAGCACTCTCACCCAAACTCACAAGAGTGTATTACTCTCACTCATGCCCAAACACAATTACACCCCAATCTCACGCTTTACTGAGGGAGAGAGCAAACTTCTCTTTATTTTAGCTCACAACACTTCGCTCTTGTGGGACACTGTGCCATTGCATAACACACCTCCATTTATAGGCTCCAAGCCTGCAATTGTCAAAAAAAAAAAAAGCATATCAAGCATCGATCTTGAATAGGTGGGCTATCTCATAGCCTGAGGGAAATTTGAATTGGTGAATACAGGGGCCACTACATGGCCTTTGAGAAAAATTAATAGAATGCACTTCATGCATCTGAGGCTATGTTCCTTCACGTGGCCAACGAGCCACTTTCTTTGATTTTTGTGGTGTGGAATCTAGACTTCACCTATCAAGCTGATGTTATTATTTCAATGTAGATATCTTGGATCCTTGTTATGATTATGTAACTAATTGTTCCCGGGGAATATTCAGGTTTCCAAGTGAAAGTCATGACATCCGACAAATATGTTAAACGTGATAATGGACTTATATATCTGGATTTAGAAGTTGGTCAAGGTGATTTCCCAAAGGATGGTCAGCAGGTTTTTCCTCTCGCTACCTCTTCCAGTTGATTGGCTCTTTCTGTATCAATGTTTAGTCTTTCTCATTCTTTTTCTATCTTCTGTGCATTATGGTTCGGATTATCTTCACTTTGGCACCCCCAAAGCTTACTCATTTTTTCAGTATGACACCCCAAAATAATTTTTTTAACACTTTGATATTCCAAAGTTTCAATTCCATTTCATTTTGATACCCTTGTCCAGATTTAATTAGCTATTCTGTTAAATTGGTATTTCAGTTAGGTCCATTCTACCCAAATGCTAGAGATCCAAACGACCAAATGTTCCAATAACAGCAGACAGAGGCATCACATGCTAAGCATGTGATATAAATATAACAGAAAAATCTAAGAAAATCTAGTCGGTATCTAAGTGAAATGGGATTGAAGCTTTTCAGTATCAAAGTGCTCAAAACATATTTTGAGGTATCAAAATAAAAATAGGGGTAAACTTTAAATAAGTGTTTGGTCCCTTATGGGCTGTCATATCTTTGAACTGAAGTATCGATTTGATAAATATTGTAGATGGATGACCACGTTCCCCCTTGATGCTTATATTATGTAGGGTTCTTTACTGTTAAAAATGATTGGCTATTCTTGAAGAGAATTGATGTAGTTAGAATTGTTCAAATATTCAACTTTCCTTGTGATGATCCATTTTTGTTGATAAACCTCCCTAAATTTCTTATTTCCTTTTTCCCCCTCTAATAATAGAAAGGGTCTTTAATCAGGGTGTTTTCATGAGCAGGTGACTTTTCACTATGTTGGTTACAATGAATCAGGCCGTCGTATTGATAGCACTTATCAACAAGGTTCACCTGCCAAAGTTCGCTTAGGCAATAAAGCACTTGTTCCAGGCAAGCATTTTGGGTTGTGAAGTCAAATTATTAAGCATTTGGCTGTCTTTTCAATGTTAATGGTAAATAATCATTAAAACAGCGCAGGGTTTGAAGAAGGAATCCGAGATATGAGACCTGGAGGGAAGCGAAGGATCGTCATTCCTCCAGAACTTGGACCTCCAGTAAGTTGTTTAGGCCATATTAATTCTTTGTTTCATCTCATTCCTTGGTGCCCAAGTTGGCCTTACAGAAACGGAATAAAATTTAATTTGTTGTTTTTGTTGTTCTTGGATTCATTATCTGTGAGCAATCTAACTGTAATCAGACATGAATACATGTTTAATTTTTCTTTAGCCAATGTATGATTTATATTTTCAGATGATCGTCACCCAAACCATAACGATATCCACATGAACACGTTTCGACTCATCTCAATCACTAGCATTATCAACTTCGTTACACTGTGTTCATGATGTTGCAATCTAAAAGAGTTTCCCTAAATAATTTCCTTCCCTATATTTCTTTATCATATATATAAAGGTTTCCTTTTCCAATGGGTTAAAACAAATGTTACGCGGTTAATTACAATAACAACAGCAGCAATAAAGTCTTTATCCCGAATTTTTGGGGTCATCTGCATGAGTCTTATTCTTCCATTCCCTCATTCTCTTCTATAACTCTCCTTTTTTCTGAACTTCATTCGTACAGGTCGGACCATCCACATTTTTCAGCTCAAAACAGTTTGAGGTTTTCGATGTCGAGCTATTAGATGTAAAAGATTGCCAGCGCCGGACAATAGCCTTTTACTCTGACGTTGTTTGCAACTAAGCTGCAGTTCTTACTGTTAGTTTTTATTGAAATGTCGATGTCGCCTGTAGGAGTTCAGTTCTGGGTCTTTTGAGAGAAGTATTTTTCCTGATATTGTTCTCAGGCTCCCGGCCCTTTACGATGTATGCATATAAGCTCCCATTTTTGGCACACTAGGCAATATTTTGCTGAGGCAGGGATATTCCTTATATGAGCATCAATTCGAAGTATTCATTCTAGAAGTTTTTGCTATTAAGTGTACTGATTTAGAGATACTTTAATGTTTTATATTTTGATGTTTGGATTTATGAGTTCAAACATTATGCATGAGAGATATCGATGCAGAAAGACGTGCACACAATGATGACAAAAAAGATCGGCACTCCCACTGCGGTTGCTTTTTCGGTACTTGGACGAACTTACTATGCGTACTTGTTTGCAAGAATTAATGAACATTTCTTCAACACCACAGTAACAGAAATCATAATGCAAAGATCCAAGATGCTTGTATTGGAAATGGATGCTTAAATATAAAGGTAAAGGCGTCAATTGCTTAAATCATCCTCTCTTTTTCAAGCGACACGGTTCGGGTTTCATTCAGCTCCGGACAAAGATACCAAAGAACTTTGCAGGAAATTTTCCGTGACTACAATAACTGTACATTGAAAATTACATGGCCACAATAAGATATTAGATGACCTAATGGCCGAAGAATGCGACTATCAACATACTCAATTTTACATCAAAAATTTCACTCATTAGAGCTTTGATGCAATCAGCTACTATGCTAAAAAAGAGCTATTACAAAATTTCTTGTTCTACAGGGCACTAGTCAAGACTCAAAACCACCGACTTCAACTATATTAAGAGGTGGTTTTGTACCTTAAATATGATACCGCACAGGTTCTCAATTGTACTCTTTTACAGGAACTGCCAAGAATCTTTGGCCGGAAATTTTACTATTGCGCTGAAAACATTGGTATTGTAGTATCTTAAAGGTACTGCTGAAGGTTTTCGCCACTGAGAGTTTCCATTTCCTTGAGAATTTCTTGGGCAAGAGTTTTAACAGGAAGCTCCACGTCTTCAAGCAGCTCACCCAAAAATGGGATGGTCTCTGGTAGAAAAATAAGATATTCCTCTTTCAAGTGCTCCACCAAATATTTGACAACCTTCAACCCGAGAATCTTTGGCCGGGTCTTTTCGCTCCTAGTCTGCATCAGCACCTGCAGAAACAAGTTGCGATATCATTCAAAGACAACTTATAATCTTCACACGGCTCAAAGACAGTAAACTAGAAGCATGATAGTTTCAAGTATAGAAGAAAAATTGTTAGTTTCCACAAAGCAGCATGAGCTTTAAGTACGTAAAATTTCAAGAATATGTTAGTCAGGATCGTGGTGGTTTTGGCTTATATACATGTTATTTTCAAAGGATTTTTTTCCTCTTTTTTTCTTTTTTTTGTTTTGTTTTATTTTTTGGGACCTTTGATGATATGACTATGAAACGAATTCACCTTCTTGTGGTCATCATTTTCTTTGCTGAAGGTGACAGTTTGATATCACGATTAAACACAGTCGATAATGCAGAAGGGAAAAAAACAGGAAAATAAGTTCGTCCACTCGCCCATGAGAAAAAACAAAGGTCACAACTTCAGTGTCACCAAACTAGACATGAGCTTATTAGGAGAAAAAAGATAAGAGGGAGAAGGTTGCGAAATTTTCGTGCATCACTGAAAATACCAAATTAAGACAAAAAGTATAGTTTCTCAAGGCTAAATATAATGCAGCCTTTTCCCGTGTGAACTGCAGCTAGATATGCTTCATTCTATAGCTGAACACTAACCACGGACCTTTCTCTGGACTTGTGTTGGAATGGAAACAGAACTAAAAAGAACAATCTTGTTCATTAGCTTTTTAATTTGCTTTCTGTTTTATTCCCACAAGAGATAATAGTTCAGTATAACGAAGGAAGCACAGCAGTCATGTAGTGGCTAACCAATAACTCCAATGACAAATTTATGTGAACGAGGTGCTATACTGACCTCATGGTTCAAAGGCTTCCACAAGACATCAGAATGTGCTGTAACAGCCATTTGACCAAGGCACAAAACCAGTGTTTCATCAACTTCATCTACAGTAGGCATATCCAATAAAACATCAGCAGAGGATGGAGGATCTACCACAATCTGGGAAACAATAGGCTTCAGGAGGACCTGCAACATTTTATGAACAGGTTAGAACTAACAAAGAAATTAAACATTCAGTAAATATAATGCGCAATGAAAAGAAGATAAATTTGGATAATATCAGGGCTATTTTCCTTATCCTCCTTTCCTATTTCTGAGCACAAGATTAGTATTTCTCTGGGTGTAAGTTCGATCACGAGTCGATTATCATGAATAATTGTAGCTAACTGACAATTGAATCAAGACTACCACATCAATTTCATGTTGCTATGCATAATACCTATAGAACAGGTCTCAAACTACCAAGTAATAAATTGATGGATAGTAACAACATACAGGCAGGTAGCACAAGTCTACTGACTCCTAGATTTAGGCAAGTCAGTAGCATCACATTATTATCGAAGTCATTGTAAATTATGATCAAAACAAGGCACTCAAAAGGAGTACAATAGCTTCATGAGATATTTCTAAAGGTTGTTACTCAATCTAAATCACATGCAACTTAGAACGGAGACAATCCCAAACAAATGCGAAAGCTCAGTACTCAAAAAAATTTATTTAAGTTCGATAAAATGGTAGCAACTTTGAGTTCTGGCGTGTCAGCATGTGAAACTTTTACTGCTTAGTTGACATTGAAGAAAAGACAGCATATATATTGCAAATCATATTTATCTCCTCTTGAAGTAATTAATAGTCCACGGTGAGGTCAAGGCGATTAGGTCCTATATTGGTTAAGGCCAGAGGCACCAAAAAAGGCGATCGTCTGAGTCTGAGTAAACTAAGGTGATAAATATTCAAAAAATTCATAAACATTACAAGTATTATGCAAATACCAATAAATACCAACAAGACAAATTAATCACAGCCAAATTTTCAACTTCACAAATATAACAAGTCATTAACCATCTAAAATAAAGTAGTAAGTAAAAAATATTGAATAGTAATATTAACCAGTAACTGCTAACACACATAACTAAGCAACAAACTTTGAAATTGATGGTTCCTATTGTTGCATGTCCTCAAAATGATACAGGTAATGAAGTACGTTACAACAGAAATTTGCAAAAAAATCAACGAAGAAAATGGAAACAAACAATTTCAATAAAAAAACAAAACTTTATTTTATTGGGCACCTTCCACATCCTCAACATTTTCAAATAGAGGCAAACACCTGGCACCTTACATCACACCTTAGGCAAGGTCATGAGATGCCAGGGTGAGCACTTGAACGCCAAAAGGCTCTCGCCTTAGTAACCTTCATCGTCTGGCAAATACACAAGGCGCTAACTTACAAAATCACCTTGCTTTAAGCGCCCGAGGCAATAAGGCACATTGGCTTTAAAACACTGATTAATAGGTAGACAGGACTGCTATCTATTAAAATGAAATAGTTAAGATACAAATGTTAATTAGCATGTCCAAATTCCAATGGCAGCAGAAATTCTATGGAAAAAGAAAAGTAACAGGTAGCGAACTGATAGTTGGAAGAAAAAGTTGGTTCTCATTACCCAAAGTTAATGTGTTTGGCTGGAGGATAAAGAAGAGGATATCCTCTCCGTTCAAGGGTGTCACCTCAAACACCTCAAACTTATAATGGATACGCCTAGTGGAGATCTCAATGACCAAAAGAAGGATAAACCTTTGTCAAAGCCTGAATATTCCCTACTAGCTCCCAATACCAACCCATCCTACGGACCTACACCCTCCTATCAATGGATCTATAGGGAACCTTCAATTTCAACGTCAAAGAACTTAAATCAAGGTGTATCCAGTAGACTGGGTAATTGTTCGCTACAAATACATTTGATTTGAAATTATGTGAATCTAAAACTTAGAATTTAGAGATGCAATTGAAAAAAACAAATTATACTAGAAAACAATCAAACAACATATTTAAGGTTCACAAAATATATGAACTAACCTCAAAATTTGAGGCATCAAGAAACTTCAGATCTGTCGTGTCATAGAGGAAGCACTGATATAAAGACTTCAAAACAAGAGCCCGCAAATGCCACTGCTTATGGGATAAAACATCTTTGGGCTTTGCAACAGAAGATGCATTCCCATGTTTGGCCTTCTTTTTCTTTTGGGTCAAAGGTATCAAACCTATGTCTTGATCTTCAGTAAGATGTCGTGTGCAATCCTCAAGCAAGTACTTGAAATAAGGGACAAACAAAGATCTGTGACATCAAACTTGCATCATTAGATATTTTCTGCAAGTGCTTCTTTCATTGAGAAAAATCTAGCAAAAAGGACCGGTATTGTCTTGAGTACCAACTATGCTATCATATAAATGACTTCTATTGAAACTAAGATCTCATGTTCATATCAGTTAGAAAAATATCCTTCATGAAAACTAATATATGACAGGGTAATGCATATAGCACAAATAGTTTTACAAGGTAGCAATACAATTCAAAGGAGGTTTGTGCAAATGAACATCCCATGAGATACAAAAGGGAAAAAATGGAGGTTGAAGAATAGGATCATCTAGAATATGGTAACAGGAGTATGGGTTACAGTAAGCTATCACACTTGGATGGCAGGAGAGCTATACTGCATTGGTCAATCCCTTTCGGTCATCCATGATGTCTGGGCAGAAGATGTCAGCGGCTTTAAGTGGAGAAAGCTTTAAGATAAAAAAATAATAACTAATATAACCCTACGGAAAGCAAAAATGGAAAGAAAATGAAAATAAACCCAAGTCATACAGCTTACTACATTATCTCAGTGTGTGTACAAAATAAATTAACTATGCTTTTATAAGATTAAGTAATTTCAACACAAATGAAAATCTTTGCAATGATCTTTTCTGATCTATAATGCTCCCAAAAAACTGAATCTATAAACATCTAGTTTTACAGCACTTGAAATCCCAAGTAAAGAAAATGCATCATAACTTCTTGGAACTCTAGTGGATAGTTTTATATACAAATGAAAAGATAAAAGATATTGTTAACCAAATCACGAGAAAATGTAACTCGAGAGTGAGTTCATCAGTAAAACAAGTACATGTTATGTATACCCAATTAAAACATGTATGTTTTATTTGAAGAGGTGCCCTTAATTAAACTCATGGATAATTTCAAGAATATGGTCCCGAACTGTCATTGAAAGCATTGTCCTATCCCTCGAAATGTAGACAATTTTGATTACTAAACAGCATTTACTTTCAAGATTTAACATGACAAAAATGAGAACTTATATCAACCATGGAAAAGCCTCAGTCTGCATTAACAGCGGGTAGATATCATTTTGCCAATGAACAATATCAATCATGTTAATCAATAATCATAGACAAGAGGTAAGCCGACAACATCAGTAGATGATCAAACATAAATGCAAAACAAAGAATCTTCATGCCTTACCGGTGTTTCTCGAGAAGTTTATTCACCAGTTTGTAGAAAGTAATTTTTCTGTCGAAACTTATGCTCTCACTTCCTTCAAGTTTAGAATCTGCCCAATCAAGGCTATGCATGAAAAGGGGCCGAAACATAGTTTCCGTAAGTTTCATGGTCAGTACAAGCACGGCATCGGTAACACTCTGCTCTACTATGTTTACATTCTTTATTGACTCCGGAAGATGACAGCGAATATCAAGTGCTATCAAGCACTGTTCAAATATCTTTACATGATAAGTACCAATAGATGGCCTATCCATTACCCCAATGATACTTGCTAGCATTTCAAAAACTAAACATAGACTGGATTCACCACATTTGAGGGCAGAGGAGTACATTTTTAGCAACGGGGTAAGCATAAGGCGAACCTGCAATTTACAAGTAACATTAAAAAAGAGAATCAAACCTAAAGATGTAGAAGAATACAATGTTGTAAAGATGACAAATCTTAGGCTTAACAAGAAACATACTGGGATTTTCTCTGTCAGGAGCTTTCGAACTGTAGCAGCCTTCGAGTTCAGTTTTGCATCAGAATCTTGAGCATACTCTGGGTGAAGTAATATAAGGTCCAGGATGTCCTCAAGATATGGATTTAGAAACCCACCAAGATTTTCAATGACAGCCTCCAATGTAATTGCAATGGACAGCAAAAGAGGTACCTTCTGATTTGAAACTCCATTAGCAGACCACAGATCGCTATATTTAGAATTTCTAATAGGACAACAGGTTATTTCATGAGCTTTCTCTAACATGAGTTTCATAATTTCAGGAAGATGTGATAAAGCTTTTGAACCAAGAACATTGACGAGTGAACCTATTGACCGAAGGCAAGCAGAAGAAATAGCCAAATCAGGAGACCGAATGTAGTTCACTACACAGGCAAGGCATGTTGAAAATTTCAAATTGTCAGATGGAACTTCTTTGGATAATACTTCGAGTGCTGAAATTGCAGCCAGCTTTACAGGAGTTTCCGATTCATCCACAGTATAAGAAATCAAGTGAACTATTTTTAAGCACAGCTCGTTGAAAGATGTGATAGCAATTTCATCTAGATGAATAGCAAATTTCTGCTTTGTTCTTCGTTTATCTTTGCACTTCCTCTGAACAAAAGATTGATCCTTTATGTTCTCACATAATAATCCAAGTGCCTGTCAACAATGTTAAAAATCATCAATTCAAGTGCCAATAACAGTAAAGAAAATCTCAATAATTAGAAAACAACTTTCAAGATAAGTACAGGCATCCCAAAAAAAGTTGATAATATTATCTAAAAAACCCTAGGATAAAGTGCCAAGGGAGATAATGCAGTGTGTTTTAGGAAAGAAACAAGTATATAGTAAATATATTAATGTGAAAAGATATGTATGATAAGAGCGGCAACTAGGGTGAGAACAACTGAAGGTAGACAAAACTGTTCTCCACTATTATAGGTTTACATCAAGGATGATCTTTAAGCACTTATCTTTTAGCACTAGTTATGCACAAACTTATAACTTACTAGACAAATTCACGATTAAGTCTTTTGCTGATGACTCACTAGTCACTACGGCTGATAAGAATAAAAAGGGATTATTTCTACAGTAGATAGGTTCTAAGAAGCACTTAACTTTAAAGGGTTTTG